GGCAAAATGTTTTCTTTTACTTCACAGCAGAAGACTCACTTAAGGACACACACCGGCGAGAAGCCATACAACTGCATACAATGCGATAAGAGGTTCGGAACATTGGGGAATCTACGAGTGCATTGCAAAGTTCATACTGGTGAGAAGCCGTACAAATGCAATCACTGCAATTCGAGCTTTGGCCAGAAACCAAACTTGAAAACACATACGAAAACTCATACTGGTGAGAAGCCGTTCAAATGCGGTCACTGCAATTCGAGCTTGGACGGAAAACAACCTTGCAAACACATATACGAACTCATACTGGTGAGAAGTCGTTCAAATGCTGCCATTGTAATTCAAACTTCGCCCATAAAACAAGCTTACAAGTACATATGCATAATCATACTGGTGAGAAGCCGTTCAGATGTGGCCAATGCAATTTAAGCTTCAGCCAGAAAATAGACTTGAAAAGGCACGTTCAAACCCATACTGGAGAAAAGCCGTTCAAATGTGATCACTGCAATGCAAGCTTCAGCCGGAAAACAAGTCTGCAAAGACACATGCGAACTCATATGCAGAAAAAACAAGTACCACGTTTGCGACAAAAAGATGAATAATCGAACCACTTTAATTCGGCACCAGAAAACCAGAAAAATCGTAAAAATTCGTATTCTGCATTGTATAGGTGATCAAATGCCGCTTCTCGTATTGTCTTAAATGCTTCTGAAAACTGGTAAAAAGCATTTTCAAAATTATTAGAATCACTCAGGCGTTAGTATGCGTACTTCATTTCAATGATATTATTTGTACGCTCTTACAGACTGGGTGCAAAATTTTTAATGTATAGAAAACGTATAGACTTAGAGCTTTGTATCGTTCATGCAATAATCGGCTCGAGTGAACATCAAGGGCAGAATGCACATAGTTAAAGCATAGTTAAAGCTCTGTTCATTTTTGATACACGGCAAGGTCGTTCTCCCCCGAACGAGTCAATTTGCCTTTGATTCTGTTGCGTTTTTCCAGGAAATTAATTTTTTATGCGTTTTTGCTGTGTAGCGCTATAGCAGCAAAAACGCATATTGTCGAGAGGCTGTCTGTGTGTGTGTTCGGAAAGCGAGTGCATTTTGTCATCCACTTTCAACTCGGCAACCAGGAGAGCTGGGAGGCTGAAACTTCGGATATATATTCCTACCCCGCGTGTCATCCTCCCGCTTTAAGATCTTTTT